AGATCTTTTTTTTTTTTTTTTTTGTAAAAATTTGACTGATCCCTGCAGCTGCTACTTTCTAGAAATGTGAATTTAGCTAAATTACTTAACCATTTTCACTTATAAGAAGTGTAATGATATTTACTTTTTGTGAAGATTGTGATGATTATATGAAATATTATATGTAAAGTATCTAGTATCTTCTCTGACACATAGTAGGCCTTTCATTTTAAAATAGTCTCATAAGTGGAAAATGCACTGAACTTGGAGTTTAAAGTCTGTTTCACTCATTAGCTTATTACCTTGAACAAATCATTTTATTTCTTTGGACCACATTTTTTGGCATATGTAATTTTATGCCATGGCCATAGAGTCCTTAGGATTCTAACTTTACTATTCTTGGATTCTAAGGCTGGCCCTGAGTGATATGTGCGAGTGTGCTCCCGCTCTGTTCTCACTAGGAAAGGCATGAACATATTCACCTGGGCACAGAGAGTTCTCGGGGAAAGGACTCAGATCTGAGGCAGGGAAATGAATGGTCTTTATGTTCTTCACTGGTGTTGACTATGGTATTTGCAAGGGGAGCAGTGTCTGAATTGCTAGTGACTAGTCCTGAACTCAAGTGGGTTTCAAAATACATGTCATTATGATGCTGCTTTCTGTAGCGAGTGGTCTGTAACCTGGTTGCTTGGTGAATACTTGGAAAGGAAGCAGTGGAACAAAGAGACCTGCTGCCGGTGGTCAATGACCATGTTGGCCAATGACCACATTTGGTTCAGTCATGGAGTCGATCAAAACAAGTGTCTGTGTACAGATATGGTTTCTATTCAGGAACTATTGGGCAATAGGAGACCCCAAGAGCAAGAAGGAACTCATTTATCAAAAGATAAATAAGGGAAGAGTCTGTAACAGATGATGTAGAAGAATAATCCACACTGAAATGAAGCTACACTCATAACAGTTCATCAAGATGCAGGTTGCTTTGCGGTTAAGAGCATAGCATTTTTTAGTGTGTGGTTTTGGCCAAGTTATTTAATTTCTCAAAGCCTCAGTTTCCTCATATCTCAGAGGGATATTGATACTCACCTCATATGGTTATTCTAAGGAGATAATATAAATGCCAAGATATGTTTGTCATAAGTATTATTATTAAAACTATTAATATTATTACAAGCCTCAAATTCACACTGGATTTCAAGGATTTGCTACCCCTAATCTAATAAACTATGAGAATGTATGAATAAATGTTAAAAACAAACAATTAGATGATTAAATGATTGAAATAGAGTGCATAATGAGAGAAAAATTCTAATAAATTTTTAAATTAGTGCACCATGTTTATTAGTTTTTATCCTATCATTTTATCTCTGGAATCTTACTGTAAAAAGGTACCTATCTACTTTTGCATTTGATTGATTTCATCCTGTGTATATGAGGTGGGATTATAAATGAAAGATAGTGGTTTCCATAAACTTCCCTCATTATTTCATAGGTCTGTTTTTGTCTACTTCTGTCTCCTAACTTTGTATGGGATAAATGTAAATTTGCTCAACTTGTTTGAAAAGAGCATTATGACCCTGAATCTTGAAAAAATCTTTATTTTTTAACAGAACTTAAAAATAAAAGGTAAAAAAATTAACCAGACTAAAATGTTAAAAAAAAAATCAACCCTCAAGAAAGTGAGTGTTAAGATACTGTGGAACTACTCTTATGAAAACAGAGAAACCACTGAAAACTAGTCTGGTTTGGGCTCAAGTATTTTTGTCTCAATGAGCTTCAACTTTTGTTTTCTCCACTGAAAATTCAGTGAAATTTTGAGATTCTAAATGGTGACCATGTGCCGTAGTTATGATCTCAGAACCAAGCACCTGGGAGTGGTGGTTTTCTTGTGTTTCACTGTTTGAATCTTTCAGAAGAGAAGTGAAATTCTATAATCTGAGTTTCATTGATTTATTTAGTTTTGACCTGCATTTTCATGTGTAATTTCTTCTATGTCAAGTTATATGTTAGTCTGTTTTGATTTGAACACTTTATAGATGATTTTGTGGGCAGCATTTTCATAGAAAAGAAATTAGGACTGAAATCTAGGATTCTGACTGCCTAACACAAAAATCAAAATATCCTAGATTCAGTTTTTAAAAGATGTTCCATAATTATTCATTTATTATTGAATTAATGCACTAATTTTTTTCCAAGCAGTTTCACCACATTATTTTTGTATTTAAAAAATTTTTAAATTGTGGTAAAAAATAACATAAAATTTGCCATCTTAACTATTTTAAGTATATGATTCTGTAGGGTTAAGAATATTCACACTGTTGTGCAACAGAGCTCCAGAATGTTTTCATTTTGCAAAACCAAAACTCTATACTTATTAAACAATAACTGCATTTCCTCCTCCCCCCCAATTCAGTTTTAAAGTGGGGTACGTATATGTTTTGTGATTACAATTTGATGAGGCTAGAGGTCATTTAGGTGAATTAAAACTGCAGGGTACTGTGTACTTACCTGAAAGTTTGAGCAATTGGCGGGAATGAGTGTTCATAGTTAAGGTTTTTATCAGTTGAACTGTAGGATGCTACTTAACGGCACACCTGCAGTCCTTGAAAGGCAGGCATCACTCATAGTTTTGAGTAGGAAAGTTTACAATAAAAATCAAAACCAGAAATGGAATAAGGCAGAAAACCCTGATAATGAAGGAAGGTAACTTTTGAAATATATAACAGAGAGCTTGTGAAATTATTTTCCATTGAGATATTAAGGGAACATAGTCACTTCAACAGTGTGATTTAGTTGAGGTGCTACAGCAGGCCAAGGGACGTATTAACAGGTCCTCAGCCCCTTTCCTAGACTTTTCAAAGCTGCGCCTAAGGAGTCTGGTGCGGCCACCGTACAAGGCAAAATCCAGAAGGAGGTGATGTTGAAATTTAGGTAGTGATATCTCGCAGCCTTCATTTGCTTAACTGAAATCATTTTAAAAATGCTCAGGGTCCTGGTTGGGAAATGAAGATCGTGGGAGGGGTTTAACCCGGAGGCCTAAGTGCCAGAGAGGGTGGGGTCTGACACTTTGGTGCGGCTCTCTGCCACTTAGTTAAGTCAAGATGATGAGACGTCACCTTGTGGGCTGCCACCATCTGCACAGCTGCCCTGCACTAGTACGATGGGCACAATATGACATGACAATCGTGCTAATGACGGTGCCGACGCGAGGCTGAGGGTGAGAGCAGAGGCGCCTGAGCTCCTGGAGGGTCCGTCTTCCCGTCAGACCTGCTGCCTGACGTCTCAAAATTCCAAAACTCAAGGTTTGATGATACTCTGTAAAGCTCTACAGGGTTAAATGTGTAGACCTTATTACCTAGAGTCACTTAAGACAAGTCTAGTGCTTTTCAGGTATATTTTACATGAAACGGGTTTTTATGTGTCGATCTGGGAACTTAATTATCATTTATAAACTTGTTTCCTTGCTAAAAATGTATTTTGAGTCCAAAATAAATAAATTAAAAATTTCAAGGAAATACCCTTTTTAAGTAGGAAATTGTTTCAATTTGTTCTTGTAATTCTACATGAGCATTTAATAAAATATTTTAATTTGGTTCTGGAATGAAAGCTATAGCTTAATTTTAATAATGGAGAACAGTAGGGTAGCTAAAAAATGAACAATATTGCATGTAATTAAATACAAAGTCATTTATATTTAGTTATTTGACTTTGAAATATAGGGTAAGAGTTTTTAAACTTCAGTTGCATTTTATAATGATGCTTTTCTTATTTTGATATTAACATGAATTTTCATGTCTCTAAAAACTCACGTTTTGCCTACTCTGGGCTTATTCTTGAGTGGTGGTGAGAGTTAATCTAAAATTTAAAATATGTTTTAAGCCATCTACAAATTAGTTGATCCGAACACAAATAATCAAGTACAGATGGTGTTAAAACTACTTGGTTAGTGATGGGCTGTAGGAAAATGTAATGGAAGAGAAAAAGCAGTTCCAGCGAGCTCTTTAACCACATCTAGGCTGCCAGGATACTCCTGGGGGCTCCTGTCTTTAGGGCCCTTCCTATGGTAGAGCAGACAGCGATGACCCCAGTTTCAGCGATAACGTATTGGCCCATGAAGAAAAACCATACGCCTCATCTCGTACCTCATTGATTGCTTGAGCCGATCAATTGATTTGGTCTCTAGACCTGGACCTTTTTTCTTTCTCAAAACCCAGTCTGATTCTCTCTCCCCCTCTTGGTTGATGGGGATGGCCTTTCTGGTTGGAGGAAGACTGTTGTTTAGAGAATATGGGTGGGCACACCATTTGAGAACTGTCATCTACAACTTGGGGACATTAAACAACGAGGAAAGGGTCCAGGGGACAGTAGAGATGGCACTGAATTAGAACCCTGGGGACCCTGTGGGTAGGTTTAAGGAAAGTATAATAACTTCACCAATATTTACCAATAATTGAATGTTTTCCATGTGCCAGGTGCTATATGCATCATTTTGTTTAACCTTCACAAAGTCTTATAAGGTAAATCATTTTTGAGATAACCTCATTTTGAGATTAAAAAACCCCCAGAGATTTAGGGAAGTTAAATTATCTTCCTCAAGCTTCTGCAGATGGTAAAAGGGACCTGGAATCCAGTCAAAGATCGTCAGACACTGAAGCGAGTGCCTGTTATCCTGCTGTGCCCGCTATGGTGCTTGCGGGGACTTGAGACGTGGTTCTTGGGGTGACCATTTTGTTCAGTCATCGCCAATTAGTTAAACTTGAAGTTCTTTATAGTTCTTCGGTCTGTTTCCTTCCTCTTTTCCACCTCTGGTTATTTTCTTCCCACTTCCCATATCACTCAGATTGGAAACAATTCCTGCCCCTTCCCTCCCTGCACCACAAAACCTGGGCCAGTGAGGACAGAGGAGCCAGGAATACGGTGGCCGGTCAGTCTCTCTCTCTGTGCACGTTAGCCCAGCTATGGGGACACGTTTAAGTTAGGCATACTCAAGGAGAGCCATGAGTAATAACTATCAGCTTTGTCATAGATAACTGTATTGGGTGTGTTTAAATGTACAACTCTGTTTTTCTATTATTATGTGATATTTCATGTTGACTTGTCAAACTGAAAAATACCCATATTGATTTTGCAGAAAGCTTCACATGTGAGATAAATGCACTCAAAGACTCCTCACAAGTAGCTCTTTGGAGCTTCAGATGTGAAATGGATCATCCTCAGTCTGTAATAGACCCTTCTGTGAAGCTCTTCAATCAAACCTGAGAATTCAAGGTGAAATTGAGGGAAGGATGGGAAACCCCCAGAGGGGAATCGGAGCAAACTAGCTGAGAAAGGAACCAGGGTATTTGCTGCCTCTTATTTTCAGTTCTTTGCTCCAGCACAGGGAGGCTGTCAGTCAGTGTGTGACCTTACGCGCTGCATGTGTGTAATACCTGGGTTCAACGAGACAAGCTGTAGACGGAGTGTCACATGCACCTTTGATTTCTTTCCATTTGTCTTTTTTTTTCTTCTTTTTTCTTTTCTGACAACCTTTGGGTTATTTTTAAAGTGGCTATTTTATACAGATTTATTATTAAAGTTTCTCTTTCCACCAAGTTAAATTATTTATATTGTTGTGTCTGATAGAATAAATTTTTTATCTATTGAGAAAAGCATAAATAATCTTTCGAAGAAGTTAGTGATGTATGATAACTACTTTAGTTGGAAAGAATTGTCATATTTTGTTAAGTAATGATCCTAGTAAGTACATCTTATTTAGGAATCATGTTTGTAGATCATGTAATGACTTTTAATTAGTTTGTTCCCAGTAAAGCAATAAGACAGAGTTACCTCTAGTAAGGGAAACGGCGTTCTTCTGAAATTAGTTTTCATGTTATGCTTCTTATTTATTTGGGGGTGCATTTTCAGTTGGACATTTCCCAGGTTAATTTAAAAAAAAACCTCTGGAATTTTCAATGGGCTATTTACTTTGGGGGAGCAGTGAATCCTGCCACCAAACTAAGTAATAAAAACTATGCCTTGGGATTTATGCTCTAATATGTTTGATAACAGTTTTTGATGCTCAAGCTGCTATGAAATGATTGCTACTCCATAACTGTGTCATAGTTTTCCTAAGCCGTGGAGACAGTGTTGTTTGTAAAGCTCTCACATTAGTATAATCTTAAGAGCATATTAATTGCCCGGGAGGTTTATGTATTTGCTCTGCACATGTGATTAGAGATCGCGGAGGCTTCTACAGCCTGATTTCAGAGATGGAGAAAATGACTATTGTAATACTTGCTCCTCTCAGTTTCCTCTCCAGCAATGCCCTTACACCTTCCTTTTTCAGGCGTTTTGTAGCATCCTAAACAGAAGGATATTGAAGGGAGCTGATTCTGCTTTGATCCTTGGGCTTGTTGTCAAAGCGCTTGGGATTGAAGAGACTGTTGGCTACAATTGACTGTGACAATTAGGAGATGATCAGAGCCCTAGAGTGGAGCACTTAAAGGGTAATTTACATGTCAGTTTGTCGAATAAAAAAAAAAAAAAAAAAAAAAAAGATATTCAGCTAAGGTTTTTTTTCCCCCTCAGAGCCTTGTAAACTGCAATTTGTGCTCTGGTAAGAAAAACCTGGCAGAGGAGTTAGGATAGCCATTACCATTTGAAAAGAAGCAATCATAAGGCCGCCGCTGAGCCCTTTGTCCACTAAAAATGCTGATTTGCAGGCACTGAGTGAAAAAGTGGAACCGTCACTAAATAAAACCTTGAGCTAGGTAACTACCCCCCC